TAGTGAAATAGATGAGAAGGAATAGACTTAATAAAGTCATATGGTCCTGGAGGGATAGTGAGGAAGATAAATATACTTGGGTCTGGTAGTACTTAAACCCTCAACACATTCCATTGATGCCAGAAAAATAATAAGTAAATAAGAATAAGCTTGTTGAAAAGACAAAATTATATTACTTATTGTACCCCTTTATAATGAGTAAAGAAATAAAACCAAACCCCACACACTGAAAGTGTAAAAAGAGGTGGATATTTTTGTTATCAAGCAGGGGAAGATTGTTTTCTGTACCTATTCATAGTCACATGACCAATTTGTTTTTATGTGGTCTGATAGGGGGTGAGATTAGCCCCTTTCTCCCTTTTCTTATGGGGCACCTTTCCTATGTTAATTTTGGGCTTTGGGTTTTCATCTATTTGACACACCCTGTGAGCACACTCTGGTCCTGGTTCCAGTCTTCATACAACATGCAAATCCTCCCCAGACCATGCTTTATAAATCCTGCCCACACCATGACAGTGCTATCACTTTATACTGAATAGGTTTCTTCATATGATTCTTCCTGAGGACAATATTTTAAACACACATTTATTTCATTGTTCTCTGTGCTCACTATTATACTGCATGATCCAAAGAGCAGGGACTTTGCCTGCTTTGTTCATGTTTGGATTTTTCACAAAAGTATGTGACTAGATGTGCACTTACACCAAGACAAAACTCAGAATGTGAACAGTGATAAAATGAAAAAAATGAAGGGATAATGAAACCAGGTTAAAAAGTGTGTAGTTTCAAAAGAATAATAGTAAGAAGAATTGAAAGGAGAATTAAACACTAACTGAAATAAGCCACAAAACACAACCATTTAAGAATATCAATGTGGGTTGACTATTAAATTGTAAAGACCTATATCTAAAAGCATATAATGCATAATATTCCTAGAATGTTCTGGCACATAACATATGCTCAGTTATGATTCATTTAATGAATCTGGAATTAGGTTTCAATGTACATGAACATTTACCATATGGAAAGCTTATACTTCAATATAGTTTAAAAACTTTGAATTGTTACACAAAGCTGGCATAAATAGCTATCGATGCGAAAGAATATTGAATTGGTCCTTGCCCTCTGATCTCTTGCAAGATGTCATAGGGATTACAAACTCAGTGTAAGAATCACCAATACATTTTTGATGAACATTAGAAAGTACATATAAAATTTACCGGTGGGCAAAAACGACTTAATAAAGCAAGAAACTCAGTGGTTATTAAATAGATATATTTAAATAAAATGTTAAAAATTTTATGGTAAGAAATGTCCTACAAAAGTCAATTGATTTCTAGAAAAATTTGAAATGCTATACAAAAATGGGAAAGAATGGTAAGATATGTCCTACAAAAGTCAATTGAGAAAGAATAATTTCTAGAAAAATTTGAAATGCTATACAAAAA